AGGCACCTTGAAGCCGTCCACATGTCTCAGTTGAACTGATGTATTTTCATGTTATAATTTCCCTCATTGCATACTTTTATTTAGAGAAAGAAAACTGAATGTCTCCCTTTCCCCCCCATGGCTTTTGAGTTTCAGACATGGCCTCCTGAGTGCCCTGGCTGGATGTTAGCACTTAGATACTTCAATTAAGTTAGGGAATTAGAGGTCAGCACCCCTCCCCACCTCCTAAGGAATGGCTACCACTCCCGTCCCATAGTCCCTGCCCTGTTATGGCCCTTTGGGGGAAGGACACCAGCATCCCCACTTCACAGATGAGGAGACAGAAGCCACACAGGGGAAGTGCCTGGTCCCTGGCAGGGTCGGGGCTGGGGCCAGAAGCCCCAGCTACTGGCTGAAGCATGTACACTTCTCAATGCTATCTTAGTGGTTAAGGCAGGGACAGCCTGCCCAAGAGCCACCATAGGGGAAAATCCAGGCCCCAAGCAATGCTATTCCTCAACACCAGCTTTTGAGAAATATCTTTCCTAATCCAAAGGAGCGACCACTGTGCAGCTGTAGATCCACACAGTTCCAGCAAAGGAAGGGGCACTGCCTTTGGCCAGTTACGGTAATGTCTATTTTAATGCTGCACCCCAGGAAGTTTTATCAATTTCCGATGGCAATCATTATTTTCCTAAAAATTTCCCAACTTCTTGTGTTTGCCAGGAACAGCCAGGGCAGGCAGTTTCCTGTGCTGGAATTCCTGGGTGGTTTATCAATTTCACAAACCCACAAGAGGGAAGTATGGAACTGGGGTCAGTTCAGTTGAGCAAGACGCTTGAGCCAGTGTGTGTGGGCCTCCCAGGGCAGCGGTGGGGGGAGGCCGCAGAGCTGGGTGACTGCACAGAGTTGGCATGTTTGTGGGTTGTTCCTTCAGTCCCCAGGCCCAACAGGAAATCAGCATCTGGCCTGTGGACAGTGATTCCAAGTGATCCCCAGGACCCACCTGTTACCCCCACTGTGCCCTGGGGCAGATGTGCATAATGATGCTTTGGAAGAGGTTTGGAGAAGGAGTGACTGGGCAGCTCCTTCACTGTCTGTCCCACACCCTGTGACAGCCAACAGCATGGGCCTATTTCATCCTACGAATCAGAGATTCTTACAATAGAGGTGGTGTGTGCAGTACAGAATTGTCACCAAAGCTGTGAGTGTGTCTGTAGAGCAGAGGGCACACGTGTGTAGGTATTCATGACACCAGCATCATTCAGCAAAGGTCCAGGACCTTGCCCTCAACATGCTCTGCTGTGGGGGAGGAACCTGGACTGGCTCTGTGTCCTGCTACGTCTGCAGCAGCCTGGTTCTCAGGTGGTCACTAGCTGTGTGCCAGCACCCTCAGGAGCTGTGGGACCATGCACGTTCCGTTTCCCCCCCTCCCTGGTCTGGGGATGAGAAGCCCACCAGCTCCTGCCCACACACATCTGGCCCTGGCCCTGC